AATAGGCTTTGTCGTGCCCTCTTCACGACTGTCTTGGTGTGTTTGGACCATGATAGTTTGTTGGTGATGTGGACACCAAGGAACTTGAAGCTCTCAACCTGTTCCACTGTTGCACAATGTGAGATCAAAGAGGGAGCAATGGTCCAGTTGATGCTGTGAATGGGAGCGTGAATAACCCTTGTTCAGCTCAGGTCAGACTCTTGCTATTGCAGCTTGCTCATCTCATACAGTATTTATTTTTACAGCAGCAAATCGCTGTGGCCCTGATTCCGACCTGAGTTAAGCGCGCGTAAATGGAACGTTATTCCCTTTTTATGCACTTCTCTATTGCCATTCGTGTTGGGTGGAGATCGAATAAATGAAGGTGTGGCGGAGGTGTGTCTACAGATACGCAGTATTCTGACCTTTATTTAATTCCCTAATAATTCCACCAATTTTACGCATGAGGAAACCATGAATAAGGTCTAGTGAACCTACCAGTTCCAAGTGGGAAAAGTATGTACTTTATTTTTTCCAATAGAAATAACACCATTGTCCATAATGCACTGTAAATGCACTGTAATTTACAACTTGTAAACATTTCTAAAAACATAATTCCACTATTACTGTATGTGGTTTTGTATGTATGCCAGTGACAAAGAAAATCGACATTTAATACATTTTAAATTCAGGCTGTAACACAACAAAATGTGGAAAAAGTCAAGGGGTCTGAATACTTTCTGAAGGCACTGTACATACATACAAACACACACACACACTCACACATTAGGTGTTACTTAAAAAGTATTCAGGTAGAGCTATTGATAAGAGCTAGGTAAATTAGTAATCTGTTTGGATAAGGGAATTGTAAATATAAATGACACTTGTTTTAGATATATTTTACCTTATAATCACTGGAGACAAATGTGAAACCAGTCATGTGGCAGCAAACTGAAGCATATCAACATATCAACTTTCCCACAGTAAAGTTTATGAAATGCTGTGTTCCATTATGCAGAATTTTATACTGGAATCGAACCCACAACCCTGGCGTTGCAAATGCCATGCTCTACCAACTGAGCTACATCCCTGCCGGCCATTCCCTCCCCTACCCTGGGCCAATTGTGCGCCGCCCCATGGGTCTCCCGGTTGCGGCCGGCTACGACAGAGCCTGGATTCAAACCAGGATCTCTAGTGGCACAGCTAGCACTGCGATGCAGTGCCTTAGACCACTGCGCCACTAGGGAGGACAATTTCATTACATTGTTTTGCTTACTTTCATTTGCTTCCTCTCTAAACTCCGTCACGGCCATGGGTTTGTTGCAGAGGATCATTAGTAACAGTTAATCATATTTTTAATGAAATTGTTATGGAGCAGAGCGCAGACCAAGCCCTAACAGTTTGAACCAGACACTTGGCGCAATACTTGGCTGTGTCATCACATAGTTCCATGGTTAGTGCAGGCAATAGATGAGGGTATAGCCTACTATTGTACACTATTCTCCCTATTATAATTTTATATACATTAATCTTCCAACATTACCATGGGTTAAACATAACCATTTTCTGAATGACTCAAACCATTGGAATTTTTTATTCATCAATATATTTCATGCGTAAAGACTCTCCAAACCAGTTTTTTTTAATGATTCATACATACTTTCCTAACCCTAAAATGTGCCTAAATAATCTACAAGATCAGTCTTTTTTAATCTACCAGTTGGTGTTGAAACGGAGATGAATATGTATATATTTAGATTACCTTCTTTCATTGATCCCTATTTTCTGAACCCATTCTCTCAATGTATTCTAGTCTGTTGACACATTTCTAATTAAAGGTATGCCCTATTTAAAGGGATGGCTTAAGATAAATGTACTGAAAACCTCATTGAATGAAAACTCCACGAGAAAATCTATTGGCCTGCAGGTGGGAGGGTTTTCAGTGATTGAATTACATTTTTTCAGCTTTCGCAATGTAACCAGCCTTGCAAAGCCCGTTACACACCTCTGAATAGCAACTACTGAGAAGTGCCTAGGAAAGGCATACATTCCTAAGTCGGAATCGGGCCCTTTATGATTACTGTTCATCCTTTGAGTGAAAGAGAACAGCCGGGAATAGAATGACTTCTATACATCTGAGGACTGCGGTATTGCAATCACAAAGACTGTCAGTCAAACATTGTCTGAGGAAGGTCTTCCAATGGCATGTACCTTTTGTATTCTGTCAAGTAACAATGAAAAAACATACGGCCAATGCATTCAACCAAAGTGCATGGTTAGAGAACAAACTGAATGAACAAGTGCATTCTTTCTTATTCGTATTTTATTTCCATTTTCCTCTGAGCATGGCTAAAAACATTGTGTACAAGGTCAGCAAAGTAACATTGTAGAACTGAACAACATAATTGAACAAACCAAAACATGGGTTGCATTCAGCCAGTTAATCGTTTTGCTACGTTTCCCAACGAGACATACTGAATTACCTGTCTCCCAAAACAGTTTGTACTATTCTTAACTTTGGTATGAAGGGTTGAACAAAAGACCTACCAATAAAGTGAGGTGGAAATGAAGAAGGCAGGAACCACATGGAATAAGGTCAAGAAAACCACCCAGAACAGAGTTCCCTGGAGATGCACTACTGGCTGAGGACCTCATTTGCTGAAAGGAATAAGTAAGTCATCATAATTGAAGTGAAGAATTTGTCTATTGCAACACTAACATACAATCACACCATCCCAAAATGAATGTCAAGCACATCTGCAGACCTAAATGTTTGCCTTTATCACCCTGAGGAAAATAACATCTGGCAAGCTTAAATTCACAAGCGAGAAACCATACCTTTGCTCTAAAAAGGCCATTATTCAGTGGGAACAGCTTAGCTCATCAAAGCAGACAAAATAATACAGATACTTATTTCTCTATTAATCTTTCCACGTTTCTCTGCCACACTGAATAGTGTGGTGCCTTATGCAGAATATGGCTGGACTCATTCACCAAAGGAAAGGGAGTACTGCTGCTACCTCGCTCACCAACCAAGGTGCATGAATTGAAGAGCAAACTGAAGTAAAGGGGAGATTCAGCAACTATTGGAGGACAATGGAAGTTAATTAAAACACTATTACAAGTAAAACCAAACTGTTTCGGCTTTTGGCCTTCGCATTGGTTTTACTTATACACTGCTCAAAAAAATAAAGGGAACACTAAAATAACACATCCTAGATCTGAATGAATGAAATAATCTTATTAAATACATTTTCTTTACATAGTTGAATGTGCTGACAACAAAATCACACAAAAAGTATCAATGGAAATCAAATGTATCAACCCATGGAGGTCTGGATTTGGAGTCACCCTCAAAATTAAAGTGGAAAACCACACTACAGGCTGATCCAACTTTGATGTAATGTCCTTAAAACAAGTCAAAATGAGGCTCAGTAGTGTGTGTGGCCTCCACGTGCCTGTATGACCTCCCTACAACGCCTGGGCATGCTCCTGATGAGGTGGCGGATGGTCTCCTGAGGGATCTCCTCCCAGACCTGGACTAAAGCATCCGCCAACTCCTGGACAGTCTGTGGTGCAACGTGGCGTTGGTGGATGGAGCGAGACATGATGTCCTAGATGTGCTCAATTGGATTCAGGTCTGGGGAATGGCGGGCCAGTCCATAGCATCAATGCCTTCCTCTTGCAGGAACTGCTGACACACTCCAGCCACATGAGGTCTAGCATTGTCTTGCATTAGGAGGAACCCAGGGCCAACCGCACCAGCATATGGTCTCACAAGGGGTCTGAGGATCTCATCTCGGTACCTAATGGCAGTCAGGCTACCTCTGGCGAGCACATGGAGGGCTGTGCGGCCCCCCAAAGAAATGCCACCCCACACCATGACTGACCCACCGCCAAACCGGTCATGCTGGAGGATGTTGCAGGCAGCAGAACGTTCTCCACGACGTCTCCAGACTCTGTCACGTCTGTCACGTGCTCAGTGTGAACCTGCTTTCATCTGTGAAGAGCACAGGGCGCCAGTGGCGAATTTGCCAATCTTGGTGTTCTCTGGCAAATGCCAAACGTCCTGCACGGTGTTGGGCTGTAAGCTCAACCCCCACCTGTGGACGTCGGGCCCTCATACAACCCTCATGGAGTCTGTTTCTGACCGTTTGAGCAGACACATGCACATTTGTGGCCTGCTGGAGGTCATTTTGCAGGGCTCTGGCAGTGCTCCTCCTGCTCCTCCTTGCACAAAGGCGGAGGTAGCAGTCCTGCTGCTGGGTTGTTGCCCTCCTACGGCCTCCTCCACGTCTCCTGATGTACTGGCCTGTCTCCTGGTAGCGCCTCCATGCTCTGGACACTACGCTGACAGACACAGCAAACCTTCTTGCCACAGCTCGCATTGATGTGCCATCCTGGATGAGCTGCACTACCTGAGCCACTTGTGTGGGTTGTAGACTCCGTCTCATGCTACCACTAGAGTGAAAGCACCGCCAGCATTCAAAAGTGACCAAAACATCAGCCAGGAAGCATAGGAACTGAGAAGTGGTCTGTGGTCACCACCTGCAGAACCACTCCTTTATTGTGGGTGTCTTGCTAATTGCCTATAATTTCCACCTGTTGTCTATTCCATTTGCACAACAGCATGTGAAATGTATTGTCAATCAGTGTTGCTTCCTAAGTGGACAGTTTGATTTCACAGAAGTGTGATTGACTTGGAGTTACATTGTGTTGTTTAAGTGTTCCCTTTATTTTTTTTAGCAGTGTATTAAATAAGCGTTTTAATTAACTTCCATTGTCCGTTAAAAAGAGTTGCTGAATCTCCCCTCTAATTCAGTGGACTCATTCACCAGTGTGTGAACCTCCTCTTGACGCTGAAGGCAAATATAAACATCCTATGAAGAAAGGTTTAACCTCTTCATCTCAATTAAAAGGCATGAGTCATGAAGGTAATGTGCCACATAGGCTTTCATGTACCACAAAATAAGCCCCCCAAAACATTTTAAAGAAGAGGAAAAAGGCATGCTTTGGAGCTTGCCATTGGAGAATTATAACTCCTGGGCACAAAGCTAAAAGCAATGACAAAACCATAAAAGCCCTCTCACAGACAAAGGTTTTATTTATTGCTTTGTTTATTGACATTAACATCACTTAAAAAAAGGTTACGTAAAAGAAAAATAACAAAAAGTTGACATTGATGATGGTGTCGCAATTGCAACCATTCCTTTCAATGGTAGAAAATGCTTTTACACTAAACAAAACTAGTTCATCTGTTTTCAGGTCAAGCATTAGATTCATTTATATACAGAGGATTCGGTGCGTGGGGGGCCAAAATGTTCCATGTAAAGTCACTCCATTCTTCAGGTTCATTCAATGTTTACAGACCAATCCCTACCAGTCAGTGATGAACTGGAACAGAGCAGAGCCGAGTGAAATGAAACACCTTCAAAGCAGAGCTGTAAGTCCTACTTCACATATTTCTCCATGAATTTCTTGTGGAACTCGGAGCGCAGAGTGTCGTTGACAAAGCGTTTCTCCCTGCGTGCCTCATCCACTCCCTTTGCACAGTTCTTGAACACTACGTCATCGTCCCACCTTAGAGAGAAAGAGACAGGAGAGGATGTAACACAACAGCCATCCACAGCCATGTCCCAGGCAGTTGTGTGTGTGTGTGTGTGTGTTTACCTCCTCTTGACGCTGAAGGCAGTCGGGGTGGGGACTATCTGTTGCTGCTGCTGCTGCTGCCCAGCCAGGTTGAGCAGAGGATTCCCACTCAAGATGTTCTCCATGCGGATCCTCTCCTCCTCAGCTTTCTGCTCCCGCTCCTGGCACAGAACACGAAACATGGTGGTCAAAGAGGACCAGGGGCAAATCTCTCATTGGCTAAAGTATTGCTCTTAGCAACGCTTTCTGATTGGCCTTGATAAAAGGCTCAGATAGTTGCTTGCAAGCATCTCAAAAATCAACAAAAATGGTAGACATGTTTAAAGGGCCAGTCCTTAGTTGAAACAATACCCGCCTATTTTTTTTTGTAAAAAGCTGAGGGATGAGCCTGGAGAAATGTAACAGAGCTATAGATGCAAGTACTGACCATCCAATATATCAACATTAGTTTCAAGCATGTTTTGAGGCATTTACAATGTTTACAAACATTGGAGTAAAACAATCTTATATTTTGGGTTCTGATGGGGTTTGACAGTTGAACTAAGCTCATGAGGCATTTATAAGTGATATTCTTCAAGAATCAATATGTATATATTGAAATACGAAATTGTAACTATTTTGCACTATGGCCTATTTATTGCCTTACCTCCATAATTTACTACATTCACACACACTGTATATATATGTTCTGTTTGTATTTTTGACTTTATGTTTTGTTTACCCCATATGTAACTCTGTGTTGTTGTTTTTTTTAATCGCACTGCTTTGCTTTATCTTGGCCAGGTCGCAGTTGTAAATGAGAACTTGTTCTCAACTGGCTTACCTGGTTAAATAAAGGTGAAATAAAAAATATATATCAGAAAATGTCTGACAGGGATTATACACTACATAGACAAAAGTATATGGACACCCCTTCAAATTAGTGGATTCGGCTATTTCAGCCACACCCGTTGCTGACAGGTGTATAAAATCGAGCACACCGCCATGCAATCTCCATACACAAACATTGGCAGTAGAATGGCCTTACAGAAGAGCTCAGTGACTTTCAACGTGGCACCGTCTTAGGATGCCACCTTTCCAACAAGTCAGTTAGTCCAATTTCTGCCCTGCTAGAGCTGCCAGGTCAACCTGAAAGTGCTGTTATTGTGAAGTGGAAACGTCTAGGCGCAACAACGGCTCAGCCGCGAAGTGGTAGGCCACACAAGCTCACAGAACAGGACCGCAGAGTGCTGAAGCACGTAGCACATAAAAATCGTCTGTCCTCGGTTGCAACACTGACTACCGAGTTCCAAACTGCCTCTGGAAGCAACGTCAGCACAATAACTGTTCGTCGGGAGCTTCATGAAATGGGTTTCCATGGCCGAGCAGCCGCACACAAGCCTAAGTTCACCATGCGCAATGCCAAGTGTTGGCCTGAGTGGTGTAAAGCTCGCCGCCATTGGACTCTGGAGCAGTGGAAATGCATTCTCTGGAGTGATGAATCACGCTTCACCATCTGGCACTCCGACAGAAGAATCTGGGTTTGGCGGATGCCAGGAGAATGCTACTTGCCCGAATGCATAGTGCCAACTGTAAAGTTTGGTGGAGGAGGAATAATGGTCTGGGGCAGTTTTTCATGGTTTGGGCTAGGCCCCTTAGTTCCAGTGAAGGGAAATCTTAACGCTACAGCATACAATGACATTCTAGACGATTCTGTGCTTCCAACATTGTAGCAACAGTTTGGGGAAGGCCCTTTCCTGTTTCAGCATGACATTGCCCCCGTGCACAAAACGAGGTCCATACAGAAATGGTTTGTCGAGATCGTTGTGGAAGAACTTGACTGACCTGCACAGAGCCCTGACTTCAACCCCATCGAACACCTTTGGAAAGGAATTGGAATGCCGACTGCGAGCCAGGCCTAATCCCTCAACAGCAGTGCCCAACCTCGCTAATGCTCGTGGCTGAATGGAAGCAAGTCCCCGCAGCAATGTTCCAACATATAGTGGAAAGCCTTCCCAGAAGAGTGGAGGCTGTTATAGCAGCAAAGGGGGGACCAACTCCATATTAATGCCCATGATTTTGGAATGAGATGTTCGACTAGCAGGTGTCCACATACTTTTGGCCATGTAGTGTATCAAACAAAACAACCCATTCATTTAGCAGGTCAATGGAGCCCTATTCTCTTCTACTACTCAGCAATACCTGAGAAATCCATTTGCATTTGGCTGGACTTAACTGGCACGACTGTGACCTTGCAGCTATTGATCATCTTGTAGCGACTCGTGTCACTGCGTTGGCGGCCTTACCTTGCGTTCCTGCTCCTCAGCCCGCTCCTTCTTGATCTTCTCCAGTTCAGCCAGCAGAGCGGCAGTGTCATCGTCATCACTGTCCTCAGAGTCATCATCTTCCTCATCATCCTATACCCAAAAACATAAAACAATGAAGGTTAGAGGCTGAGCTTTCAAAAAAAAAAAAAGAAGCACAGACTTTAATGTGACAGGTGGATGAACATTTGGCACCTACGTCAGTGAGAGGGTCATCTGCATCCAGGTTGGCAGCAGGGATTTGATCTAGTCTGGGCCTCTTTGAGGACGAGGATGAAGATGTGGTGTGTTCTGAAAATTAAAAAGAGAAACCATAATTTTAATGATACTGGCTTGAGATGAAATCCCCTGCAGACGACTCATGTCAACAAAAAATAACCTTTGGGCATAATGGTACGTCAGATGCTAAAATCATCTTGATCTTCTTTACACACAGCAGACAATATTTTAAGTTCAGTTCAATCTTTACCTCGGGTCTGAGTTTATGTGTATGCCTGGATACCCACCTCTAGGTCCCCTCTCTCTGGTCTTCTCCCGGACAGCAACACGCTCCCTCTCCTCCAGCTCTCTGCGGAAGTCACGGGCACGCACCTCCTCTGGGGCATCCTGGGTGGGCTGCCTGAGGGGATGAGACAGGGACACAGAGTGAAACATCACTTCATCTTCAACCAGAAGGACCTGTTCCCAACTACTGGTGCAGTGCAGCACTAAGCCATATGTGGTAAGACTGATGCCAAGATGTCACACCACAACAAGGATAGGTTGTGTTACTCACCTGTATTTGATCTTTGTGTGACCAGGCAGATCTCGGCTGGAGTACTGTTTGGACAACGCACTGAGATCGCCCTCTCCCTTCCCTCTCCCTCCTCTCGCTGGCTCAAACGTCGGTCTCGCCGCTGTTGTCATTTTTGGTGGCTCTAAAAATAGAAAACCCAAGGAAATATAGCTAGCTAGCGAGAACAGAGGGCAACAAATACATAGCTAATCAGCCATTAACACATCAAATCATTTATCAACGTATTTTTATGTCACGTTAACATAACTCAATCCGTATTTAGCTAGCTAACTCGCCATGATGAAAAAAACAAACGGTGGACGTCTGAGATACAGAGTAGTTGGCGAGTAACGTTAGCTAGCTAGTACTGTACTTAATCAAAATAGACATCTAGGCTAGCTAGTTATATAGCTAGCTAACCAACAGACACAGCTAGTTAGTGAAGCAAATTTAGTAACGATTTCTGCATTGAGTGGGATTTAGTATAAAATTGGTATAGATTATTGCTGTGCAAACACCAACACACTTGTCTACGCTAGGTAGTATCTCCTGTTAGCTAGCAAGCTGGCTGCCAGCTAGCGTTAGCTTAGCTAACTATCTTTGCAGCGAGAAAAATAACAGTCATACAGTAACGCAAGCTACAAGTTTACAAAAATAATATCATAACTATCTTTCTCTTTAAAAAAAACTAGCTTGCTAATATGGGACAATTTCGAGGAAATGTACCTTTTTCCTCACACTATGAGGAAGAGAAAGGGCCCTTTGGATTGTTAACGGTGACGTCACGCTGTATGCGACAATTCGTTTCGTAGGATAGCCGGAGCGTGTTGCCAACTCTTCAGTAAGGAAAGTAGCTATTGGCTGTCCTAAAAGTCGGTAGAAGTCGCTAAATGACGTCATCATCTAATTTACATAATTGGCCATGTGCATGTAATTGTGATGGATGCTGTAGGAGAGAAGAATAACATCATGGGAGAGACACAAAGTGAGTAAAAAGCTGTGCGAGGACTGGGCCGCCAGTGAGTGCTTTGGGACAGGGGTCGGGCCCACGGCACCTGCTGCTCTTTGAGAAGAGTAAGAACAATAGGTGCTTTCAGGCAAATAAATTAATATTCATGACTTACGTCAGGTGATTGGTGAGCTTTCTTGGGTGTGTGACGTTACGCAGATGCACTTTTAACTTTCCACAAACTGTCTGTATACTAGAAGAACCTATTTTTTATATGTTTCAAGATTGCATTGAAAATTGTGAAATGGTCTCCACTATGAAACAGGGCCTTATTTCACTGATTCCGAAGCATGATAAAGACCCTTCTCTCATTGACAATTGGAGACCAATTACTAAATATTGATTACAAATTGATTTCTCTGGTTTATGCCATAAGATGAAAGAAAGGAATAGATAACATTATAAATGAGACTCAAACAGGATTTATGAAGGGCTTTTAGATTATTCAGATGCAATCGACTCAGGTGCTGTTGTTTTATTTTTGGACTTCTGTAAAGCCTTTGACACAATTGAGCATTCATTTCTTTTTCAGTCTCAAACTTTTTGGTATCGGTGAACATTTTATCAAAGTAATTTGCATGTTTTACAAAGATAATAGTTCTGTGATACTAAACCTTAATCCATCCAAAATATTCAGTATCAACAGAAGTGTACGACAGGGATGCCCTATTTCGCCCTTTTGATTCATTTTGGTAGTGGAACTTCTATCTAGATATTTTGAATAATGCAAATCTGCATGGCTTTTCCATTTTTAACAGAGAAATCAAAATTTCCCAACTTGCTGACGATACTACTCTTTTCTTAAAGGATAAGGACGAGGTTGCCCATGCCCTTAATGCTATCACTGCATTCTCTATTGCATCTGGTTTAAAACTGAACGTTTCTAAATGTGAAATCTTATGTTTATATGACTCTGATGATAAAGAAATATAAAATATTCCTGTAAAGGACTGTGTTAAATATTTAGGAATACATCTATTAAAAAACCACTTAGTCAGACAACATATGAATGTATCTCCTAAAATTAAGAAAACCAAGAATAGATTTAATAATTGGCTACAAAGGGATCTTTTTATACTTGGGAGAGTGCTTCTGTCCAAGGCAGAGGGTCTGTCTCACTGTGTGTACCCCTCATTATCTTTATTTGTAAATCCCTCTACCTGTAAAGAGATCAACAAGACCTTTCTTGACTTCATCTGGAAAAATAAGTCTCCCAAACTAAAAAAGTCAGTCCTCTCAAATAAAAGATCTGAAGGAGGTCTGGAAGTGTTGGATTTTGTTGACATAAATAACACTTTCAAAATCAATTGGTTGAAAATATGTTTTATCAATACAGAATGAATTTGGTGTTTCATTCCAAACAATGTGTTGAATAAGTTGGGAGGTCTTCAATTTTTATTGAAATGTAATTATATTCCTGAAAGATTACCCGCTAAATTGGCTAGGTTTCACCAACAAGCTTTAATGTCCTGGAAAATATGTTTCTTGCACAATTTTTCCCCACATAAAGCTATTTTGTGGAGTAATTCAGACATAACTGTAAGGAATAAGTCATTGTTCTACCATAGCTGGCATGAGAGGAATATTGACTTTGTTCTTAATGTTTTTTAGAACAGGGGTAATATTCTTTCATATGAACAGTTTATAACATTGAATGAGTTTCCAATACCTTTCAGAGAGTTTATTTATGTGATCAAAGCCATTCCCAGTGGTCTAACTACACTAATGAACTAATGAAACTCATCTTAGCTTTCGTGATGATCATAGAGCTTATCCAGAACTCAGTTTGGAAGGCGTGGGCTTACTTGAGAAATCTTGTTGTAACAAATACATAAGACACATTTTCCATTCACAGAAACAACTTACGCCTAGAGGAAAACATTTCTGGAACATGCTTATTCCTGATATTGTCTGGAAATAAGCTTGGTTGATGCCTTACAAATATTGTATACCAAACAAATTTAAGGAAGTGCACTTTAAAATTATACATAAGATATATATCCATGTAATTCTATGTTGGCCAAATGTGTTAATATTGATGATATCTGCGTTTTCTGCAAAAAAAAATGAAAATCTGACTCACTTGTTAGTTGTTAGATTTTTGGAAAAACCTTGCAGAATACTTGTTTACCTTTTTGAACACTACCCATGTTTTTGACATGAAGGATATACAGTTGAAGTTGGAAATTTACATACACCTTAGCCAAATACATTTAAACTCAGTTTTTCACAATCCCTGACATTTAATCCTAGTAAAAATTCCCTGTCTTAGGTCAGTTAGAATCACCGCTTCATTTTAAGAATGTGAAATGTCAGAATAATAGTAGAGAGAATTATTTATTTCAGCTTTGATTTCTTTCATCACATTCCCAGTGGGTCAGAAGTTTACATACACTCAATTAGTATTTGGTAGCATTGCCTTTAAATTGTTTAGCTTGGGTCAAACGTTTCGGGTAGCCTTACACAAGCTTCCCACAATGCATTTGGCCCATTCCTCCTGACAGAGCTGGTGTAACTGAGTCAGGTTTGGTGTAACACTCTTTCAGTTCTGCCCACAAATGATCTATAGGATTGAGGTCAGGGCTTTGTGATGGCCACTCCAATACCTTGACTTTGTTGTCCTTAAGCCATTTTGCCACAACTTTGGAAGTATGCTTGGGGTCATTGTCCATTTGGAAGACCAATTTGCGACCAAGCTTTAACTTCCTGACTGATGTCTTGAGATGTTGCTTCAATATATCCACATAATTTTCCTTCCTCATGATGCCATCTATTTTGTGAAGTGCACCAGTCCCTCCTGCAGCAAAGCACCTCCACAGCATGATGCTGCCACCCCCGTGCTTCACGGTTGGGATGGTGTTCTTCAGCTTGCAAGCTACCCCCTTTTTCCTCTAAACCTAACGATGGTCATTATGGCCAAACAGTTCTATTTTTGTTTCATCATACCAGAGGACGTTTCTCCAAAAAGTACGATCTTTGTCCCCATGTGCAATTGCAAACCGTAGTCTGGCTTTTTTATGGTGGTTTTGGAGCAGTGACTTCTTCCTTGCTGAGCGGCCTTTCAGGTTATGTCGATATAGGACTTGTTTTACTGTGGATATAGATACTTTTGTACCTGTTTCCTCCAGCCTCTTCACAAGGTCCTTTGCTATTGTTCTGGGATTTATTTTCACTTTTCGCACCAAAATACATTCATCTCTAGGAGACAGAACGCGTCTCCTTCCTGAGCGGTATGACGGCTGCGTGGTCCCATGGTGTTTATACTTGCATACTATTGTTTGTACAGATGAACGTGGTACCTTCAGGCATTTGGAAATTGCTCCCAAGGATGAACCAGACTTGTGGAGGTCTACAATTTGTTTTCTGAGGTCTTGGCTGATTTCTTTTGATTTTCCCATAATGTCAAGCAAAGAGGCACTGAGTTTGAAGGTAGGCCTTGAAATACATCCAGAGGTACATCTCCAATTGACTCAAATTATGTCAATTAGCCTATCAGAAGCTTCTAAAGCCATGACATCATTTTCTGGAATTTTCCAAGCTGTTTAAAGGCACAGTCAACTTAGTGTATGTAAACTTCTGACCCACTAGAATTGTGATACAGTGAATTATAAGTAAAATAATCTGTCTGTAAACAATTGTTGGAAAAATTACTTGTGTCATGCACAAAGTAGATGTCCTAACCGACTTGCCAAAACTATAGTTTGTTAACAAGAAATTTGTGGAGTGTTTGAAAAACGAGTTTTAATGACTTCAACTTAAGTGTATGTAAACTTCCGACTTCATTTACATTTAAGTCATTTAGCAGATGCTCTTATCCAGAGCGACTTACAAATTGGTGCATTCAACTTAGGATAGCCAGTGGGACAACCACTCCTTTTATTTATTATTATTATTTTTTAATTTAATTTTAATTTTGTAATGGGGGTCTGGGGGAGTAGAATGATTACTGTTACACTATTCCAGGTATTCCTTAAAGAGGTAGGGTTTCAAGTGTCTCCGTAAGGTGGTCAGTGACTCCGCTGTCCTGGCGTCGTGGGGGAGCTTGTTCCACCATTGGGGTGCCAGAGCAGCGAATAGCTTTGACTGGGCTGAGCGGGAACTGTGCTTCCGTAGAGGTAGGGGGGCTAGCAGGCCAGAGGTGCCCCCGTTTGGGTGTTGGGTCTGATTAGAGCCTGAAGGTAAGGAGGTGCCATTCCCCTCACAGCTCCGTAGGCAAGCACCATGGTTTTGTAGTAGTTTCAAGCTTCAACTGGAAGCCAGTGGAGTGTGTGGAGGAGCGGGGTGACATGAGAGAACTTGGGAAGGTTGAACACCAGACGGGCTGCAGCGTTCTGGATAAGTTGTAGGGGTTTAATGGCACAGACTTCAACTGTAATATGTTACTATTGCAATGACAACAAGACCATTGAAATGATTGTGATTTTTTTAATTATTGTTGCCAAATACTTTATACACAAACAAAAATTCCAGAATTCTATACCAAAATTACAAATATTTTTGATTGAATTTAATCATCTTGTTAAGACATTTTCCATAGTGGACAACAAAAAGAATAACATATTCCAAAATCATTATAATGAAAAAAAAATTCTGAGTGAATACAATTGTACTATATATATATTTTTAAATTTACGTCATTTAGCAGACGCTCTTATCCAGAGCGACTTACAGTTAGTGAGTGCATACATAATTTTTTTACTTTTCATACTGGCCCCCCGTGGGAATCGAACCCACAACCCTGGCGTTGCAAACACCATGCTCTACCAACTGAGCTACATCCCTGCCGG